GTTATAGTGTAAGATAAAAATATAATAAATAAATTATGTATCAAAAACTATAAAGTAATTATTATTTATTAACAAAATATTATAAAAAGTATATTAATAAACATTAAAAACTTTCCTTGTAAAGCAATAAATAAAAAATCATGAAAAAAAGTTTAAGTTTGACAAGTTTCAGATTTCTAAAAAATGTTTTTTTTAATTTATCACACAAAAAAATATAAAAATTTAATGATAATTTATCTGCTATTACCCAGATAATTATCTGTTAATGCACAGATAAATTATCTGTTGAAGTTCAGATAATAAAAAATGGGAAAATTCAGAAAAAATATCTGTAAAAATTTTTGGAAAGTTTTGCAGATAATAAATGCGAAACATCACAGTTCATCTGCGAAAAATTACCAAAAATGGAAAGAAATAACTGTGATAATTTATCTGTGCATTGACAGACTTTTGTCTGATTTGGCTTGCCATATGGTAGAAGATATCTGAAAGTCAGATAACTACATTATCCGGATATCCTTGATAGATCATTTGGATCATCTGATTATTCAACATAATTCTGTAGTGCCAGCCAGAATTACAATGGTGATAGTCACGTAATCTCAGATAAAAGGTTTAGCCACTGGGTAGGTTGTATTACACAAAATTTTTGCTAATTTTTGTATTACATGATGTTATACAAGAATTCATACCTCTGGCTGGAACTATGAATTTGGTTTGATTTAAATCTGGATGATCTGTCATAATATCCAGTCACAGATACTTAGGGACAGTGATGACACATGACCTTTTATGACCTATATGACCTATATGACCTTGATGACCAGTCATAAGTCATTCAGTCATTCCGAAAGGTATTATGACCTTATGATCTTATGACCTGTAATCTTATATTAACATATTATATAAAAAGTATATATTACTTGTTTATCATGTTTAGGAATTTTGTAGATAGTTTTAAATGATATTTTTACTTTATTTTATTATTCTTTTATTAACATATAAACTTTATTGGAATATATAATAAATGGCTTTATTGAACATCGGTTAATATATCATCTGTACCTAAGTAAGTTAGTGATTCTAAATTAGAAATAAAAAGTGATTCCAATATCCATTTGGCTGTATCATCATCAGTAGGATGAATGGTCCGTCCACCTAATTCAAAATCTGTATCCCATTCTGAAGAAAGCAAAGTTGCATCATCAGTATTATTAAATTGATTTTCATGCTCCACATTATTAATCCATTCAGTTATAATTGAATCCCAACATTCTTTATCCTCTTTTGTTAATAGTTCATTTTCATTATCACCAGAATTTCCTGCTTTTCCATCAGCTGGCATCTGATTATTATCATCGTCACTATTGTCTGATTCTTCTTTTGGAGTAATTGGTGTTGCTATATGAAGCTGATGAATTTTTTTTTCTCCATTTTGCACAGATTTAATATTTCGATTATAAAAAATATCCCCTCTAATTTGTGCCATTTCAAGAACTTTTTTAGGCTAAATAAATAAAAAATATTATTAAAAAGATATTAAAATTAATTTAAATTTTAAAAGTAAAGAAAATACAAAACCTTTAGCCGATTTCTTCAATTTGTGTGTAAATATCCTATACTTGACCATAATCTTTCAACTGATTCTGAATTTACACATATTTCATGTATCTGAATTGCAATTTTTGCTAATTCAGGTCGTATACCACTGGTAAACTCCCAAAAAGTAACCAATTGGCCTTTAAATTGAGCAAATGAATCATCATAATAGGGATCTAAACTTTTCATATATTGCATAAATTCTGCTAAAATGGTTCAAGGCTTATGACCAAACTACGCCTCATAATAATATTTTAACCATTTGCCAAGATGTACCATAGACAAATTAGGTGTAGATGTACAAAATTTAGAAACTTTATATGAAGGATGAAGTACCATCAAAAGAATTAAAAGTGGTTGCTCCCATTGTTTCCAACATTTTTCCATTTTTTCAACCATTTTTTCTGAAAAGTTTGAATCTGTATACTCATTAAAAATTTTTGTTACATATGCAAAGCAATGAATTACTTTATATAAGTTTGCTGTATCTTTTTGAAGTTTATTTAAAAATTCACATAAAGGATACAATAAATTTTAAAATTCTATAAGTGTTAACCAAAAATCATTATCGTTAAATTATATCTGCAATATCATCAGGTAATTTTCGTTCATTATTATTTTTTTTTAAAGTATTATTTGGTATTACATTTGGAATACCATTTGTACGAATCACATTTGATCGATGTTCATTGAATTTTGCAGAAATATACTAGTAAACGAAATAATTAATTTTATAATAATAATAATCTTAATAAAAAATTAAAAAAATTACCTTTAATGCGACCTTAGTTTTTAAAATAGAATGAAAACAAAAATAGTAGCTATTTCATCTAGTATCTCCAGGTAATAGCAAAGATACAGTTTTATTATAAATTCGAGTTTGTTCATCTCTTAAATTTCCAGTAAAATATGGAGATTTATGAAAGTAACTGACTATTCGCACAGCTTCAGTAGAAGTACGTTTATAATGGACACTTTCTTTAAAAATATCACCAAATACAAGGTTCATTTGATGTGCCATGCATGGAAGAAATACTTTATTCAGATATTCTTTTCTTAATTGTTTTCTAAATAATGATTTTTATTAAAACTAAATAATTTTCAAAAAAAAAACCAGATAATTTTTAAAAATTACCGTGCTGCAGTATATTCCTCTACAGAATCAGATATAAAAGCTTTTATATTTATTCCTTCATTATTTGTTTCAAGCATCAAATTTTTAATATGTTGAATTACATTTTCAGTTCAAGAAGATTCTCCACTAAGATCATGAGCACCCCAAATAAGAAATTGATCTTGTGATGTTAATAAAATAACTCCCCAAATATGTTCTGCTTTAATATTAGTCTATTCGTCAAATGTTGCAGTAACACCATCAATATCTTTTTTTGCAATATCTGTAATATTTTTTTTTAAAGTATTAGTACATTTTTTTAAAACTCTACCACTAATTGCTTTACGGTTTGGCAAACTAAGACTCGGCAAAATAAAATTAAAGACAGCTTGTGTACCTTCATTTTTCAAAAAAGTAAATGGTAGGCCATTAGATACGATCATACAAAGAAGTAGAAATTTAAATGTTGGTCTATCATTAATTTACATTGGTTAAGCACAAAAATTTGTGATAGATTGTTGTCGAAATGAAGAAGTGGATGATGATATTGTTGAAGGTGAGCTTTTTCATCTTTTTGGTTGATTTTGTAAATTAAAATCCTTTTCTTTTTCCTCCTCTTCTTCTTCTTCATCAGATGTATCTAAAAAAATCACATTAATGATAAATTAATAATAATAGTTAATAAATATATTGTCTATTAAATTTACCTTCATTACAATTTTTACTTTTCTTTTTAGAGTCTTCTGGAACAGAACGGGATAAAATTTCAGTAATTTCCTCTTTACTATATAAACTTTTAAAGTTTTCACAGTTTGCAAGGTAATTTCGATAAAGCCTTGCTTTATTAAAAGTAAAACACCCAGGTGTTACCTGCGTAATGGCCAAACCTCCAACATTTTGGCTACAACAAATACATACAGCTTTTGCATTTGATTTGTTATTATCATTTTTTACTAAAGTAAAAAATTTCCAGAAATTATGATTTTCTTTTATTTAGTCATAGTTTTATAAACTAAATTAAAGGATTTTTCAAAAGTTATTATTAAATGAATCGTTTATTTATTAAAATTGAAAAATTGTTTGAATTGTTTCATTTGTTCTGTTAAATTTATTTAAAAAAAAAATTATCACTATTTTATATTGATTAACATTATACAAGATCAATAAGATCATATACTAAATGACCTAATGACCAAGGTCATAACTTTATAATCTACAATTATAAAGGTCATAAAATTAGGTCATAAAATTTATGACCTAATGACCCATGACCAAAGGTCATCCAGAAATTGCAATATGACCTGGTCATTTTCCAACACTGCTTAGGGATGGGGACGGTTCTATTGGTTCAGTTCTGGTTCTATAGAACAGCGGAACTGGTTTTGAGTAGAACCATTTTAAAAAGTCAATTCTGAGCAGTTCAGTTCTATAGAATAGTCCATTTCTGAGCAGAACCATTCAAAAAGTCAGTTCTAAGCGGTTCGAGCTCTATAGAATGGTCCAAGTAGTTAACTAAATGCTATTTGAAAAAAAGGTTATTTGGTAAGATACATATAAACTGAACGGAACTGAACTGCTCAAATTGAACAGTTCCGTTTTAGAAACTGAAATTGGTTCTCAGTTTCAACTCCGTTCCAGCGCACAAAATCTATTTAAATTTTGCCGGATTTTCTGAAAGCTTTTTGATAAATCCGTAAAAATTTTTTAAACCCGGAATTTCTTCGAACATGGCACAGCAAATTTCTGGTAAATTTTATGAATGCCGGAATTTTATTAATATATAATAAAAACGTTAAAATATTAATTCTCATTTTCTTGAGTCAAGCTATTATTAATTCTTTAATGCTTAAATCCATATTGTAATAAAGACATAATGAAAATATTTGAGACTTTAGAATTTATGCCGAATTGCCAATTAAATAAAAAAAATTTTTTTTTATTGGTTCCAGTCACATGTTCCGATGCAAAAAATGAATTTCCGAAATTTTTTGATTTTTTCGGAAAATTTCCGGTATTTTTTCAAAAACTTTTTGTGCGCTGCTCCGTTCTCAGTTCTAAACTGTGCTCAAACTACTCAGTAGTGGTACAGATACTATCTGCAATAACAGAGATAAAGCTGTTTTTGGAAACTTCAATTACAAAATTACACTTCTATTTTGCATAAGGTAATTAGGTGATTTTTATTTTTTATTCTTTTTTTTTAATAAAATACCATATCGTTCTGAAATTAAACAACTTATTTTTACTATAGCCCTATAAAAAATATTTTACTTAAAATATATTTAAAATATATTTAATTTTCTTTAAAATATACTTAATTTTCTTATTTTATAATTAAAATATACTGAAAATTGAATTTTCGCAAAATTTGAATTAAATTGTATTTAATATATACTTAAAATATATTTAATTTACATTTAAATTTTACCTATTTCAGTATATTTTAAGGATATTTAAAATAAGAATATTTTAAGTATATTATTATATATTTAAATTATACTTAAATGATATTTAATTTTTGCCTATTTCAGTATATTTTAAGTATAAAATAAAATTTTAAGTTTATTTTAAGTATATTTTAGCAAAAATATTTTTTATAGGGTAGAGTTGTTTAATTTTGGATACTTTTCTTTATAAAAAAATCTAAAAGAATAAAAAAGAAAATTGCGCATTAAAAGTTTATATGCATAATGTAATAACGTAACACAATCTCATGATTTATAAATCAGTCGTGATTAGTGATTAATAAATCAGCTATGATACTTATTTCCATTGTTTTAAAACTTTCCACATGATATACCACCACAAAGAAAAAGAAGGCAAAATAAAGTTGTTAGTAAAAAAACTATTAGTAAAAAAACTGTTAAATGACACTGCAACTCATATTCTGTTGAGCAAAAAAAACAGGTTGTCACTTATGCTAAGGAAAATAGAATGGTTAAAGCAGCAAAATCTTTTGAACTTAATAAAGGTATAGTTAGTCGCTGGGTTAATTCAAACGAAAAGTGGATAAATGAACTAAACCAAAATAGCAAATGAATTGGTTCTGGTTGAAAATGTTTTTATCTAGAAGCTGAAAAGTAACTCTATAATTGGATTATAGAACAAAGGAAACAGGGATTAGGCATCACATATGCAATTGCACGAGTTAAAATAATAGATATTTTAAAGAAATCTACTATGATAAGTCTTTATGGAGATTCAACAAATGAATTTAAAATATCAAACCGCTGGATGTTCGCATTCATAAAAAGATATAATTTATCTTAGCGGCAGCGAACTAACATTTTACAGAAGCTTCCATCACAAACTAATGAAGTATTAAAAAACTTCCAAGAGTTTATCATCCGCCTTAGAACTGAAAAATCATTTGAGTTATCCAATATTCTTAATATGGATGAAACTCCTATTTGGTTTGACATGGCAGGGAACTTCACTATCAATAGTACAGGTGAAAAAACAATTCAAATTTGCAGAACTGGCAATAAAAAAAACTGTTTTACAGTTGTTTTGACAGTTGCTGCAGGTGAGAATTATTCTGCAATTTCATTTCTTTTTTGTTTTACTAATCCAATTTTTTGTACTATAGATGGTACAAAATTTCCATCCATTTGTATATTTAAAGAGAAACG